ATGGATGATTTGATGATTGGATGACTCGATGATTGGATGATTGGATGACTGGATGATAAGATGATTGCATGGCTCGATGATGGGATGATTGGATGATTTGATGACTGGATGATTGAATGACTGGTTTGACTAATTAGACTTTTGATGGAAAACGCCCTTCACAAGACCAGAAGGCTATTCAAGGTGCGGGCGTTGAAGGAAAGTATAGAAAAAAGTTACAGAAGAAAATATCTAATCAGATTACTTTGAAAACAGGTATAGTTTATATGTTAGTAAACAACAGGATTCGAGTAAAGGAGTTCCTGTCGTTCGTAATTATCAATCTTTAAAAAAACAATAAGAATAAAACAAACGGCCTCCCTTCTCCCCTTACAGCCGTCCTTTCCACACCATATTTATATCAAATAAGTATCGCAACAGTTGTATGAGGCCAGCTATTCGTCTTACTCCGGCCCTGTCATTTCCATTTGTTTATGTATCTTTCTCGCATGCAGCCTTCACCTTCCTCCTGTACTCATCTGAAGACAGAAACGTTAATAGTGACCCGTTGTTGTTTAGTCTGCCTGAGTATTTCATATCTAAGGCGATCAGCTAGATTGTGGAGTCTTTTGGGCTTAGATGAACGGAGAAAGTTCTGCCCCTTTTCATCTTCTTGAGGCAGTTCTAAGGCGTTCTCTTATTTACTGATGGAGATGACGGAGAAAGTAAGTGTTCAAAACACGCAGCTAGTATATGTTGTAACTGATTGGTTCGGAGACAGCTGCAAATGGTTTGAAACTGCCGAAACCTGAGGGCTTAACTGATTCTGCTGATGGTGTTTGTCGAGTCTGTTGGGCCTTTGTTGTGACTCCTCAATCTTCTTGGGTTATATTAACTGACGATTAATCTGATGTAGATTGAGAATCTGGAGTGGTCAATATCCTGCTAACTGTCTGATTAAACTCCTTGGATCGGAGACAGCTCAGTGAGTGAATCTTAATTTAGTCCTGATGAGTTTGGTGTTGCTGAACGTAGATACTTGTTGAAGGATGGAGATCAAGTTGTGTGAAGTGCACTTTCTGATGGACATTCCTGCAGTTATTCGAGACGAAGTGCATTTTCTTTCTAAAAGGTGGTCTTTCCAACTTCCTCAATTTCATTTTCATATGCCTGGAAAAGATGAGGGTGCAAAACGTGCCCTGTAAGTTAATGCTAGAGGACATACTGAGCATCACCTCGACGATTGTGGACCTCCAAATAATAAAAAAAACCGCCTGTTAACCAGCCATTCCAACACTTCACTCATGAAAACATTGGGCTTATTAGCCGATAGTAAGTGGGATCAGACTGCTCCAGAGAATCGTTGAACACAGAAACAACAGATGCCATATTTCAAGTAGAAGGACACACAGAAGTTGGTAGACGTAGATTTGTGATTGGATGACAGGATAATTGGATGATTGGATGATTGGATGATTGGATGATTGGATGATTGGATGATTGGATGATTGGATGATTGGATGATTGGATGATTGGATGATTGGATGATTGGATGATTGGATGATTTGATGATTTGATGATTCGATGATTGGGTGATTGGATGATTCGATGTCATGAGTTGATGATTTGATGATGGATGATTTGATGATTGGATGATTGGATGACTGGATGATTGAATGACTGGATGATTAAATGATTGCATGATTCGATGATTGGATGATTGGATGATTTGATGACTGGATGATTGAATGACTGGTTTGACTAATTAGACTTTTGATGGGGAAACGCCCTTCACAAGACCAGAAGGCCATTCAAGGTGCGGGGCTTAAAGGAAAGTATAGAAAAAAGTTACAGCAGAAAATATCTAATCAGATTTCTTTGAAAACAGGTATAGTTTATATGTTGGTAAACAACAGGATTCGAGTAAAGGAGTTCCTGTCGTTCGTAATTATCTTTAAAAAAACAATAAGAATAAAACAAACGGCCTCCCTTCTCCCCTTACAGCCGTCCTTTCCACACCATATTTATATCAAATAAGTATCGCAACAGTAGTATGAGGCCAGCTCTTCGTCTTACTCCGGCCCTGCCATTTCCATTTGTTTATGTATCTTTCTCGCATGCAGCCTTCACCTTCCTCCTGTACTCATCTGAAGACAGAAACTTTAATAGTGACCCGTTGTTGTTAAGTCTGCCCGAGTATTTCATATCTAAGGCGATCAGCTAGATTGTGGAGTCTTTTGGGCCTAGATGAACGGAGAAAGTTCTGCCCATTTTCATCTTCTTGAGGCAGTTCTAAGGTGTTCTCTTATTTACTGATGGAGATGACGGAGAAAGTAAGTGTTCAAAACACGCAGCTAGTATATGTTGTAAGTGATTGGTTCGGAGACAGATGCAAATGGTTTGAAACTGCCGAATCCTGAGGGCTTAGCTGATTTTGCTGATGGTGTTCGTCGAGTCTGTTGGGCCTTCGTTGTGACTCCTCAATCTTCTTGGGTTATATTAACTGACCGATTAATCTGATGTAGATTGAGAATCTGGAGTGGTCAATATCCTGCTAACTGTCTGATTAAACTCTTTGGATCGGAGACAGCTCAGTGAGTGAATCTTAATTTAGTCCTGATGAGTTTGGAGTTGCTGAACGTAGATACTTGTTGAAGGATGGAGATCAAGTTGTGTGAAGTACACTTTCTGATGGACATTCCTGCAGTTATTCGAGACGAAGTGCATTTTCTTCCTAAAAGGTGGTCTTTGCAACTTCCTCAATTTCACTTTCATATGCCTGGAAAAGATTAGGGTGCAAAACGTGCCCTGTAAGTTAAGGCTAGAAGACATACTGAACATCACCTCGACGATTGTGGTCCTCCAAATAATAGAAAAACGCCTGTTAACCAGCCATTCCAACACTTCACTCATGAAAACATTGGGCTTATAATCCGATAGTAAGTGGGATCAGACTGCTCCAGAGAATCGTTGAACACAGAAATAACAGATGCCATATTTCAAGTAGAAGGACATACAGACGTAAGTAGACGTAGATTTGTGGTTGGATGACAGGATAATTGGATGATTGGATGATTGGATGATTGGATGATTGGATGATTGGATGATTGGATGATTGGATGATTTGATGATTTGATGATTTGATGATTCGATGACTGGGTGATTGGATGATTGGGTGATTTGATGATTCGATGTCATGAGTTGATGATTTGATGATGGATGATTTGATGATTGGATGACTCGATGAATGGATGATTGGATGACTGGATGATAAGATGATTGCATGACTCGATGATGGGATGATTGGATGATTTGATGACTGGATGATTGAATGACTGATTTGACTAATTAGACTTTTGATGGGGAAACGCCCTTCACAAGACCAGAAGGCCATTCAAGGTGCGGGGCTTGAAGAAAAGTATAGAAACAAGTTACAGAAGAAAATATCTAATCAGATTTCTTTGAAAACAGGTATAGTTTATATGTTGGTAAACAACAGGATTCGAGTAAAGGAGTTCCTGTCGTTCGTAATTATCTTTTAAAAAACAATAAGAATAAAACAAACGGCCTCCCTTCTCCCCTTACAGCCGTCCTTTCCACTCCATATTTATATCAAATAAGTATCGCAACAGTAGTATGAGGCCAGCTCTTCGTCTTACTCCGGCCCTGCCATTTCCATTTGTTTATGTATCTTTCTCGCATGCAGCCTTCACCTTCCTCCTGTACTCATCTGAAGACAGAAACTTTAATAGTGACCCGTTGTTGTTTAGTCTGCCTGAGTATTTCATATCTAAGGCGATCAGCTATTTTGTGGAGTCTTTTGGGCCTTGATGATCGGAGAAAGTTCTGCCCATTTTCATCTTCTTGAGGCAGTTCTAGGTGTTCTCTTATTTACTGATGGAGATGACGGAGAAAGTAAGTGTTCAAAACACGCAGCTAGTATATGTTGTAACTGATTGGTTTGGAGACAGCTGCAAATGGTTTGAAACTGCCGAATCCTGAGGGCTAAACTGATTCTGCTGATGGTGTTTGTCGAGTCTGTTGGGCCTGGGTTGTGACTCCTCAATCTTCTTGGGTTATATTAACTGACCGATTAATCTGATGTAGATTGAGAATCTGGAGTGGTCAATATCCTGCTAACTGTCTGATTAAACTCTTTGGATCGGAGACAGCTCAGTGAGTGAATCTTAATTTAGTCCTGATGAGTTTGGTGTTGCTGAACGTAGATACTTGTTGAAGGATGGAGATCAAGTTGTGTGAAGTGCACTTTCCGATGGACATTCCTGCAGTTATTCGAGACGAAGTGCATTTTCTTTCTAAAAGGTGGTCTTTGCAACTTCCTCAATTTCATTTTCATATGCCTGGAAAAGATTAGGGTGCAAAACGTGCCCTGTAAGTTGATGCTAGAAGACATACTGCACATCACCTCGACGATTGTGGTCCTCCAAATAATAAAAAAAACGCCTGTTAACCAGCCATTCCAACACTTCACTCATGAAAACTTTGGGCTTATCAGCCGATAGTAAGTGGGATCAGACTGCTCCAGAGAATCGTTGAACACAGAAACAAAAGATGCCATATTTCAAGTAGAAGGACACACAGAAGTAAGTAGACGTATATTTGTGATTGGATGACAGGATAATTGGATGATTGGATGATTGGATGATTGGATGATTGGATGATTGGATGATTGGATGACTGGATGATTGGATGATTGGATGATTGGATGATTGGATGATTGGATGATTGGATGATTGGATGATTTGATGATTCGATGACTGGGTGATTGGATGATTGGGTGATTTGATGATTCGATGTCATGAGTTGATGATTTGATGATGGATGATTGGATGATTGGATGACTCGATGATTGGATGATTGGATGACTGGATGATAAGATGATTGCATGACTCGATGATGGGATGATTGGATGATTTGATGACTGGATGATTGAATGACTGGTTTGACTAATTAGACTTTTGATGGAAAACGCCCTTCACAAGACCAGAAGGCCATTCAAGGTGCGGGCGTTGAAGGAAAGTATAGAAAAAAGTTACAGAAGGAAATATCTAATCAGATTACTTTGAAAACAGGTATAGTTTATATGTTGGTAAACAACAGGATTCGAGTAAAGGAGTTCCTGTCGTTCGTAATTATCATTTTTAAAAAAACAATAAGAATGAAACAAACGGCCTCCCTTCTCCCCTTACAGCCGTCCTTTCCACACCATATTTATATCAAATAAGTATCGCAACAGTAGTATGAGGCCAGCTCTTCGTCTTACTCCGGCCCTGTCATTTCCATTTGTTTATGTATCTTTCTCGCATGCAGCCTTCACCTTCCTCCTGTACTCATCTGAAGACAGAAACTTTAATAGTGACCCGTTGTTGTTTAGTCTGCCTGAGTATTTCATATCTAAGGCGATCAGCTAGATTGTGGAGTCTTTTGGGCCTAGATGAACGGAGAAAGTTCTGCCCATTTTCATCTTCTTGAGGCAGTTCTAAGGTGTTCTCTTATTTACTGATGGAGATGACGGAGAAAGTAAGTGTTCAAAACACGCAGCTAGTATATGTTGTAACTGATTGGTTCGGAGACAGCTGCAAATTGTTTGAAACTGCCGAATCCTGAGGGCTTAGCTGATTCTGCTGATGGTGTTTGTCGAGTCTGTTGGGCCTGGGTTGTGACTCCCCAATCTTCTTGGGTTATATTAACTGACCGATTAATCTGATGTAGATTGAGAATCTGGAGTGGTCAATATCCTGCTAACTGTCTGATTAAACTCCTTTGATCGGAGACAGCTCAGTGAGTGAATCTTAATTTAGTCCTGATGAGGTTGGTGTTGCTGAACGTAGATACCTGATGAAGGATGGAGATCAAGTTGTGTGAAGTGCACTTTCTGATGGACATTCCTGCAGTTATTCGAGACTAAGTGCATTTTTCTTTCTAAAAGGTGGTCTTTGCAACTTCCTCAATTTCATTTTCATATGCCTGGAAAAGATGAGGGTGCAAAACGTGCCCTGTAAGTTAGTGCTAGAAGACATACTGCACATCACCTCGACGATTGTGGTCCTCCAAATAATAAAAAAACGCCTGTTAACCAGCCATTCCAACACTTCACTCATGAAAACATTGGGCTTATAGGCCGATAGTAAGTGGGATCAGACTGCTCCAGAGAATCGTTGAACACAGAAACAACAGATGTCATATTTCAAGTAGAAGGACACACAGAAGTTGGTAGACGTAGATTTGTGACTGGATGACAGGATAATTGGATGATTGGATGACTCAATGATTTGATGATTTGATGACTGCATGATCGAATGATTGGGTGACAAAAAGATTTGATGATTTGAGGCTAGAAAGATTTGATGATTTAATGATTTCGTGATTTGATGATGACTTGGTGACTGGATGATTAAATGATTCGATGACAGGTTGACTTGATGACTTGATGATTTGATGATTGGATGATTGGATGATTGGACGATTGGATGATTGGATGATTGGACGATTGGATGATTGGATGATTGGATGATTGGATGATTCGATGACTGGATGATTAGATGATTGGGTGATTTGATGATTCGATGATGTCATGAGTTGATGATTTGATGATTTGATGATTGGATGATTGAATGATGCGATGACTCGATGATTCGATGATTTAATGATTTAATGATTTAATGATTTGATGATTTGATGATTTGATGATTTGATGATTTGATGATTGGATGATTGGATGACTGGATGAAGGATGATTGCATGACTCGATAATGGGATGATTTGATGACTGGATAATTTAATCACTGTTTGATTATTTATGGAAAACGCCCTTCACAAGACCAGAAGGCCATTCATGATGCGGGCGACAAAAGAAAGTATAGAGAAAAAGTTACAGAAGAAAATATCAATTCATATAATTTTGAAAACAGGTATATATTTTACGTTGGTAAACAACAGGATTCAAGTAAAGGAGTTCCAATCGTTCCTAATTTATCAATAAATAAAGAAAGAATAAGAATAAAACAAACGGCCTCCCTTCTCCCCTTACAGCCGTCCTTTCCACACCATATTTATATCAAATAAGTATCACAACAGTAATCTGAGGCCAGCTCTTCGTCTTACTCTGGTCATTTCCATTTGTTCATGAATATTTCACGCATGCAGCCTTCACCTTCCTCCTGAACTGCTCTGAAGACAGAAACTTTAATAGCGACCCGTTGTTGCTTTGTCTGCCCGAGTACTTCATATGTAAGGCGATCAACTAGATTGTGGAGTTTTTTGGGTCTAGATGGACGGAGGAAGTTCTGCCCATTTTCTTCTAGAGGTAATTCTAAGATGTTCTATTTTTCTGATTGAGATGAAGGAGAATTTGGAGTGTTTCTGATGATGGTGTTTGTCGAGTCTGTTGGGCATGAAATGGGCTATTAATGTGACTCCTCGATCTTCTTGGGTTGTTATTAGCTGACCGATAGAGATATTCTGATGGAGATGGAGAATCTGGAGTGACCCATATCTTGCTAACTATCGGATATAACTCGTTGGACCGGAGACAGCTGAGGGAGTGAATCTCAATTTAGTCCCGATGAGTACTTGGATGGCCTCTTGAACAGATACAGTGAAGGGATGAGATGAAGGCGCAAAACGTGCCATGCGAGTGAATGCTGGAAGCCGTACTGAACATCACCTCGAACATTGTAGTCCTTTTAATGATCAGGAAGACGCTGGCAAGATGAACATCTCGCAAATAAGCAGATAATACGTGGGATCAGACTTTCCGAGAATGAGGGTTTGAGGACTCGAGGTCTTGAGAACTCGAGGACTTGAGGATGCAATGATCTGATGACTTGATTACTTATGGACTTAATTGAGGTCTTGATGCCTTATGACTTGATGATTTGATCACTTGATGACTCGAAAAATTGAGGACTTGAAGGACTTGAGGACATGATGACTTGAGGACTTGATAATCTGATGACCTGAGGACATGGTGATCTGATGATCTAATGACCTGATGACTTGATAATATATTGACTTTATAATCTGATAACTTGGTAATCTGATGATAATCTGATGATCTGGTGACTTGATGACTTCTACATTTGAAGACTTGAAGGCTTGATGATTTGATAATCTTATGAGCCAATGACCTGATGACTTGATAATCTGATGATCTGATGAATGGAGATTCTGGTGACCTGAAGACTTGATGACTTGATGATTTGATAATCTGATGACTTTGGAATTGAGGACTTATGGACTTGAGGACTTGTAGACTTGGCGGCTTGAAGACGCGATGATCTGATGCCTTGATAACTTGAGGACGTAATTTTAAGGACTTGATGACCCGATAACTTAAAGACTTGAGGACTTGAGGACATGAGGACTTGATGACTGGATGACATGATGACTTGATGATCTGATGCTCTAATGACCTAATGACTTAATATTCTATTGACTTGATAATCTGATGACTTGAGGACTTGATAATCTGATGACTTGATGATCTGATGACCTGGTGACTTGAAGACTTGAGGACTTGATGACGGGATGATTTGATGATCTGATGATTTGATGATCTGATGATCTGATGACTTGAAGATTTGCTGAACAGATGACTTGATGACGGGATGATTTGATGATCTGATGATTTGATGATCTGATGATCTGATGACTTGAAGATTTGCTGAACAGATGACTTGATGACCTGATGAATTGAGGACTTAAGGACTTGAGGACTTGAGGACTTGAGAAATTGAGGACGTGAGAAATTGAGGAATCAAGGGCGTAAGGACGCGATGATCTCGTGACTTGATAATCTGGTGATCTATAAAATGTTATTCTTCGCTTTTCGTTGAGATAGAATTTGAGGATCTGATGACTTCATGAATTGCTAACTAGATGACTTGATGACTTAATTGAGGTCTTGATAACTTAATGCCTTGATGATTTGATGACTTGATGACTCGAAGAATTGAAGACTTGAGAACTTGATAATTGGATGATCTGATGACCCAAAGATTCGAAAACTTGAGGACTTTATGATCTAATGTTCCATTGACCTAATGACTTGATAATCTATTGATTTATAATCTGATAACTTGATAACCTGATGATTATATGATCATCTGATGACTTGATGACTTCTGAATTTGAAGACTTGAAGGCTTAGGTGTTGAGGACTTGAGGTCTTGAGGACTTGAGGGCTTGATGACGTGAGGGCTTGATGACGTGAGGACTTGAGGACTTGAGGAATTGAGGACTTGAGGAATTGAGGAATCAAAAATTTCAGGACTCGAGGACTTAAGGACGAGATGATCTGATAACTTGAGAATCTGGTGATCTGATGTCCTGATGATTTGATGACTTGATGACGTGAAGACTTGATAACTTGATTAATCGAGGTCTTGAGAACTTGATGATCCGATAACTTGATAACCTGATGATCTGATGACCTGATGATTTGGTGATATGCTGACCAGATGACTTGATGACCTGATGAATTGAGGACTTGAGGAATTGAGGACTTGAGGACTTGAGGACTTGAGGAATTGTGGAATCCAGGACGTGAGGACGCAATGATCTGATGACTTGATAATCTGGTGATTTATGAAATGTTATTCTTCGCTTTTTATGGAGTTAGAACTCAATACTGGCAAACCATCCCTGCATTGAAGGTTTTGTCGGTTCTTTACAATCGCATGGAAAAAAATATTGGCGTGGTAGTATAGCTGTGAGACGTGATTCCAGGTTCTCACTTCTTTTTTGACTTCTTGGAAGTTTCTTGATGGACTGTGCACTTTTAATAATCTTGTGAATTTGCGTTTCAAACCGTTTAACTTGTTGACAAAGAAGGCTTAGATTTGTGTCATTCATACTGGAAAATTCAGAAGATGAATTCGGCTACCTTTGTGATACATGTGAAGGAGACATCTTTGAATGTGCTCTCGACACCAGTTGAAGCAGCTTTTTCTTTAATACAGAGTACATTCCTTTTACAGTGTAAACTCCTTTTACAGGGTAATCTACCTTGCTGATGTTGACAACCTGCTTGTATTGACAGCCAGATGATGATTGAAGAAGGCTTCATCATTCAACGATGAAGACAGAGACTGTTCTCTCAGATTTATACACAAATATTCTGTCGATGAATTGTG